TCGCTAAGAGCAGACCTGGACTTTTGGAGGAATCCGAGCGTTCTCACGCACGGAGTCCCGATGGGCAAGGTGTCATCCTACATTCCAGTATTTACAGATGCTTCTCTGACTGGATGGGGAGGGACATGTCAGACTCAAGCGATAGGAGGTGTATAGCCTCAATCAGGTCGTCACATAAACCTCTTGGAGTTGGAAACGGTTCGACTGGTTCTGACCCACTTCGCGCCTAGCCTTCGGGGTCGCGATGTGCTGGTCTGGTCAGACAACCGGACCACAGTAGCTCACATAAATCGCCAGGGAGGGGTCAGGTCACCTGCCCTCCACCGGGCGGCAGAGGAATTGTGGCTGTGGGCTCACAAGCACCTTCGCTCGTTGAGAGCAGCACACATTCCGGGCTACTTGAACGTAGGAGCAGACCTCATGTCAAGAGGGGGTCCTCGAGACGACGAGTGGTGTCTGCATCCGGACATTGTTCTCCGAATTTGGGAACAGTTCGGGAGAGCCGAGGTGGATCTGTTCGCGTCACGCGTGAACGCGCAATGTCCCCTATGGTTCTCTTTGAGGGAATAGGACGAGCCACCACTGGGAAGAGACGCATTCGCGCACTACCCGTGGCCGAAAGTTCTCCTGTATGCATTCCCTCCGCTGTCTTGCATTCTCCCACTGCTAGCCAGGGTGAGGTCAGAGGGGCTGTCAGTGATACTGATAGCGCCCGATCGCCCGGGGGCTCCGTGGTTTGCGGAGATGAGTCAGATGTTGATTGCGCCACCTTGGCCAATTCCACATCGACGGGACGCGTTGACTCAGGCAGGAGGCTCGATAGGGCAGTGGCCCATAATCGGCCAACCACTGAAGGCTTGGTTCCTGAATGGGACAGGTTGAGGCGCCGTGGGTTATCTGATGCAGTGATCAGAACCACACAAGGTGCACGAGCCGGTTCCACTTCTAGGATGTATACCAGCAGATGGAAAGTTTTTTCACGATGGTGTGACACACAAGGTGTGGACCCCATGAACTGTCAGGTTGAGAGTGTGCTCTCTTTTCTGCAGTTTATGTTTGATAAGCAGAAATCGCCCTCCACCATTAGAGTGTTTGCAGCGGAAATTTCAGCTGGTCATGAGGGGTTTGGCGGAACGAACGTGTTCAGCCACCCTTTAGTGAAACGTTTCTTATTGGGAACGCGGCGACTTAGGCCAATGCCTAGAGCCACGCTGCCCCAGTGGGATTTGGCTTTGGTACTCGAAGCGCTATGTAAGTCGCCGTTGGAGCCATTGAATCAAATACCCCTCAAGATGCTGTCTATCAAGACGGCACTGTTGCTCGCCTTGACTACCGCTAAGCGTGTCAGTGATTTGTGTGCCCTGTCGACAAGACCCGACTGCCTTGCCATTAATGGCGATCTGAGCAGAGCGGTGTTACGTCCTAACCCGGCGTTTGTGCCGAAGGTTATTAGCAGTGCATATAGATCACAGACTGTGGAGTTGTGGGCTTTTTCTCCCCCTCCTCATGGGGAGAGGAGTGAGGAAAAGCTTCATTGTCTGTGCCCAGTGCGCGCTTTGGCGTGTTACGTTGAGCGCACAGCAGCGATTAGGTCATCGCCTCAGCTGTTTGTGTGTCACGGTGCGGCTGCATTAGGTAGACCACTTTCAAAACAGCGATTGTCTCATTGGCTTTGTGAAGGTATTGAGACAGCTTACGAGGCAGCGGGGCGACAACTGCCTCAGGGTATCAGAGCTCACTCCACTCGTGGAGTAGCAGCTTCTACTGCCCTCTTCAGAGGAACAGGGGTAGAGGATATTTGTAGAGCAGCGTCATGGTCGACATCGTCTCCATTTATCCGTTTCTATCTATTAGATATGTCTTCTAACTCTTTGGCTCGATCGGTGGCTGAAGGGAGATCTTGAGCAACAAAGAGAGGGAAAAAGCAGGACTGCGGACATGGGTGTCCATCAGGCTCGCTTTGGTTAAGAAGACATATTCTGCTCTATCTATTAGATATGTCTTCTAACTCTTTGGCTCGATCGGTACTCAGCGTGGCTGAAGGGAGATCTTGAGCAAGAAAGAGAGGGAAAAAAGCAGGACTGTGGACATGGGTGTCCATCAGGTCCGCTTTGGTTAGGAAGACATATTTTTGACAGATATGTTTTCTAACTCTTTGGCTCGGTCGATACTCAGCAAAGCTGAAAGGAGATTTTGAGCCAGGAAGAGAGGATAAAGCAGGACTATGGACAGGTTCCCATCAGGTCCGCTTTGGTTAGGAAAACATGTTTTTTGATAGATAGGCTTTCTATCTCTCTGGCTCGATTGTACTAAGCATAGCTGAAGGGGAATCTTGAGCTAGAAGAGAGAAAAGCAGGACGATGGACACAGGTTTCTATCAGGTCCGCTTTGGATGGAAAGCATATCTTGTGGCATGACTCTTGACTGACAGGGTCAGTATAGTAGAGACATGTATTGAATTGACAGAATGTGAGGTCATCTATCTGATTGTTCAGTTTAGTATGACTTATATTTTGTTCCTGCCTACTAATCTCTGGGATTCCATTGAGTGAGTGAGGTGGTCTACTGTGCACATAATGAAGAGTGACACTTGGTGTCATTCCATTAGTGGTCGGTGGTGTTTTCACAGGATATTGAGGCACATCTATCTGCTAGTACAGATTAGTGTAGCTTCTATTCTGGTGATCTGCCCACTAGTCATTGGCATTGCCATTGAACTAGGTGGGGCGGGTCTTTAACCGATGCCGCGGTATATTGTGACGCCCGTAGGGGTTTTTAGTTGCAGTACTGCGGGAATTGGTTGCGGCCATTGCTAGGCTTGACCTTTTCATTTTTTAATGGGAAGTGTTAGGCTCGGCAGGGAGTACATTTTGGAGCGCTCCGCCTTAAACCACTAGGAGCAGAGCTCCCCTATGGGGCGGAGCTCCACGATATAGAACGATTAGTTACCAGAGTGTAACTCCAGTTCTATGAGTGGAGCGGCCCTGCGGACCCTCTCTAGTCTCGCTGAAGATAATATCTCGGGAGGCTGATTGAGGGGAGGCGTCCCCTCTTATAGGGACACCTGTGCTCCCATTGGCTGCAGGCGTGTGCATAAATTTGCTTCAGGCTGTTGCTGCCTTAGGGCAGAGGGTAAACCACTAGGAGCAGAGCTCCCCTATGGGGCTCCGCTCCACTCATAGAACTGGAGTTACACTCCGGTAACTAATCGTTACATGTGCCCTGTTTTACCAACCAGCACCAGCCATTGAAATGTAAATCATGGAGTCTCATTATCAGTTCGAGAGAGAGCGAGAGAGAGCAGAAGATGTTCAATCATTACATTTAGAGCACATAACGTTACAATCGGTACATTTAGAGCATATAACGTTACAATCGGTACATTTAGAGCATATAACGTTACAATCGGTACATTTAGAGCATATAACGTTACAATCGGAATGATAGAAATAGATTTTGGAACGTTGTCTGTAAGTCAAGTGGTGGTACACTTGTAACGTTGTCTTTCTAAGTGTGTAGGAACATTTGTTACGTTCTAAATAAGTACTTTAGATCCCAAGATATTGGGGCCAGCATACTTGTGCTTGGAGTAAAGGAAGTGGATCCAGCTCTTCCCCTCCGCAATTAATTTTTCCATAATTCTACCAATTTAATAAATGTATGAAAATTCATAATGTAATTTTGACCTCCGTATAGGCCTATGGAAAAGGGAACGATACCTAAAAATAATATTTTTTATTATATTAATTTATTAATGTAGCCTATAACAATAATAATATATTTTTAAAATCATTATAAAGCAGCTAGCAGTAGTGGTGGCCTGACGGCTGTTCATCCTGAATATTCCTTTTGACTCCATTATCCGTCATTGCATTGGGTGTGGCAACTAACAATACTGAGGCTGGAGCCAGAAGGAAACACCTACGAAACTAATAGGTAAAAGTGAAACAACACAGCTGAACAGCGAAGACGCCATCGACTCCGACTGACCGAACACAGTTCACCTCTTTGAAATTTTTACGAAAGGTAAGTTATCCAGCGTGTACTATTTAAACCAAGTAAATTAGTGTACTCCCAGCTCCCCAGATAAAGACATGTTGATGATGTCAGGCTATCTAACTAGTGAGGAAGCTTGCCAGTTAGCTAATTAGCCAGTTGGCTAATAGACAGTTTAACCTAGCTACGTTACTTGGATAGTGCCGCGTGTAATCACAGCCTGTGTTACAGGGTTCAGTAATCGTGTTCTTAGTTCCTGATGAAGAACAACATTGACAAGTGTTCTTGGTCTATTACTAGCATAAGCACGTAAAAAATATATACAATGCAGGATATGGCTTGATACATACATTTTTACTAAAGGGCTGTCTAAATTTGCACAATTCAGATAATGAAAAGTGCAATTTATCCGTTCTATAACACCAACATTAGTCAAACGCCTTGCAGTGTCACGATAGCCTGATAAGTTGTAATCACCTCTTTCCTCATTTCAGTTCTGATTCAAGATGGATATTATGGATAACATCTTGGGTAGTAGAGATGAATGTTCTTTCTGTTTCTTTACTTAGGGTTCTGAAGATTGAAAATGTCTTTAAAAAAGGTAAACCTATGTGTTGTCTAACTGGTTATTCATTTTAAATGGACAAGTAAGGCAGCCCAATTTCATTTTTTACTGTATGTGTAGAGCCATTGTCATATCATTGTTTAATCATTTTCAATCAATTGTAATCAATATATCGTTATGGCCACTTTTGTGCTCCATCAATCTATCACCACCCACAGTGTTTCCTCTGTCACTTGCAATGGCATCATCAAAACCAAACTCCCTGGAATTCCTCAATGACACTTTGCTGGAGCTTAAAGAGTTGATGCAGACCGGCTTGAAGTGAAAGTTTGTTCTGTAACGTGATGCACCTGCAAAAGCCATGGTAAAATGCATAAATATGTATTCTGGCTACTATGGCTGTGACAGGTGCACACAAAAAGGCAGGTGTGATGGGAGGATGACGTACCCGCAGGTAAAGAACCTGTGTCTCAGAACTGGCAAATCCTTTAGGGAATTGGTACAGCCAGAACATCACCATGAAGGGAAAACCTCTCCTTTTTGCATCCTCCCCATTGATATGGTGAAGTCATTCCCAATTGACTATATGGACCTTTGTTGCCTCAGAGTAACCCAGAAGCTCTTGATTATGTGGACTAGGGGAAAGACTGGGGCCAGGTTTTCATTGGTGCAAGTCAAGGAGGTCAGTCAACGACTAAACAGACTAAAGGATTCAATTCCAGACTGCTTTGCTCGCAAACCACGGGGATTGGATGACCTTGACCATTGGAAGGCCACAGAATTCAGACAGTTTCTACTCTATACTGGGAAAGTAGTGCTGAGAAGAATCTTGTCTAAAGAACAGTACACACACTTCATGGCCTTCAGTGTTGCCATGTGCATTTTGGTTTCTCCTCAACTTTCTTCAATCCACAGTGCCTATGCTCATACTTTACTGAACTTCTTTGTGGAGCAGGGAAGGGTTTTGTATGGAGCCACATTTCTTGTGTATAATGTTCACTCCCTCGTACACCTCACTGCTGATGCTGAAGAACATGGCTGCCTTGACAACTGTAGTGCTTTCAAGTTTGAGAACTACTTGCAACAACTAAAGAAGATGGTCCGTTCAGGGAGGCAGCCACTTGCGCAAATTTGTAAAAGAGTGCAAGAACATACAATTAGAGCTTCTCCCCAAAAATGAGACGGCCAAACAATGCCTACATACTTAATGATAGGTCATGCTGTGAGGTAGTGAGCCAAGAAGATGCCTCTGATACTTACCTCTGCAGGGTGTTTCAGCATCTGGAATCTTACACGCTGAGACTCAAGACTGTATTGGACTTTCCGCACCACTACGAGGAGCGCACAAATGCGTCTCATTGCAAAGAGCAGTATTGTTAAGCAAGCTATTATACTTGAGGAGGACCATGGCACTCGTGTTGTGCTTACCATCTTGCACAGCCTGTAGCAAGCCCCATTTAGCTACAGCCAAGTTCACAAGCTGTATAAATCATGGCTGGTAAATCAAGAGACTGAACAGTGTGGAATTTGTGTTTTTTTTTTATGCACGGGGCACACAGCGTTATTATGTTGTACAATTTGTAAAAGAGAACACTGTTGAAGTTGTACCAGAGCAGTGGGTGGAGAAGAGAGATGGGGTGAGTTGATCAATTAAACGGTTGACCCTTTTCAGGCAAAGAGATGGATAACTTTAAACTGTCTCATATCTTGCAGGTCCTGTGTTGCTATTGGCCAAGAAATGCCAGCGCAACAATGATTAAGAGAGGAATCCGGCCTGACAAAATATTGATATTATGGGAGAAGTACAGAATTTCCATCTTTTCATCCACTGGTAAAATAATATTTTACTGTATCCATCCACTCCCGTTTATATTGCAATGTATGCTTGGTTGTGTGGCTCTGGAGCAGGTTGCATCAGTTGAACATACTCCTATACGTAAGGCTAGTTCCAACGTAGAATATGTTCTAAGCCAGGTGTTAACCTGTGTCACCACCTGGTTGAAGTAATAGCTTTTGCTATGCCAGGGTGTAAAAACTAAGTGTAATGTGGGGTAGACGTATAGTATAAATCTATAACTAGTTTCCAAGGTAAGTGTTTCATGACTAGTTATGTCAAATCTTGTTCAATTTTCTAAATCAGTCAGGAAGTCAGGAACTTCCCCCTCTTAAGTACTATATGTATGTATTTGCTGGAAGTATTACTATGTGAATTACAAATACTCAATACACTGTTTTGCCAGTGTTAATAGGAAAGTATTTATGACTATGTTTATTCTACGTACAGACAATTACTCTGTGGCAGAGCAACGAGCCAAACGGGGGGTTGACACCTCCAATGTTGAATCTGACGAGGAACCAGCGAAGAGGGCGGTGACTAAACCAATCAGATTCCGTGTAGAGCCACCTCGTGAGGATTTCGTAACTACTCTTATTCCATTGTGTGTATTACATGCATCAGGAAGTAGATGAAATAAATGACTTTTTTTTGTATTGCGCTTCATAAGATGATGATGGAAGTGAAGCACTCCAGAAAAGCCCAGCTTACAGTGCCCAAGCTTCCACCAGCCCTTAGTGGTAAGATCCTGCATTAGTCAACTAGGTCATTAAATGTATAATCAGCAAGTTGATGGTAAGTTTGACACACATTCAAGTATGTGGGTGAAGAAAAGCTTACAGTTAATGCAAGTACTAGTCTTAAATTGTAGAGACGGCATGAAATCATAACCTAATGACAGTTGATATGACAACAAATACCACACCCATCTGATCTTGACATACTTGATTATTAGTCACATTACCAAAGTGTAACAGTTCTTCTTTTTTATTAGCAACTTCAAGAGCCAGTGTCTTTGAAAAGACCCTGCAAGGTAGGTACATAATGTTTCAAGCCTACTTTCTCAAAGTTCTGTTCCTACCAACTGTATGGGATGGACAGGAAAATCTGTTAAGTGTGTACTGTAAATGTGGTAAGGGTTTGACATCTGTGATATTCTCTGAAGTTGCAGATGCAGAGGACTTGAGGCCATGTGCCACCTCAAGCCAGAGTGACAGTAAGTGTCTGGTTGTAGTTTGTTAGGGTAAACAATTGAATTGTATGAAGTATTATAGCTTTACAAACCTTTCAAAGCCACTTAATAGAATACATTTACCATCACATTTTTGCATATTAGGCTATTTAAAGTCTTATCACTACTTTGTGCATACTGTTAGAACTTTCCAAATACTTGTGGTGCTGTGTATGGGTGAAACGTGTACTTACAACAGTAATGCAATAACCATATTCTTCTGGGGTAAAACACAAGTGTGATGCCATGTTTGTAAATATCTGTATGTATTTGCCATCAAACTAAAAGCATTATTTAAAACAAAAATATATGCTTAGCATTTATTTTTGTTGGGATTCATTAACCTTCCCACTGAGCTCCTGACTGACATCCCTTCACTTTTGGTTCTGTGCCAGTTTCAAAAGCATGCAAAGTATGTCTTAATTTTTGTACATCTGTTTTCTTAGTTAGTCCAAGTGGCAGCCAGGAAGAAGCTGGACAAGACAGAGCATCATAATCAGGTTTCTTTAGCCATTAAGATATTAATCTCTGTCACGTGCTGATCGAGAGAACTCTTGTTGGTTGGGTCAGGGTGTGAGTGTGGTTTGAGATCTATGTTATTAGATTCTATGTTTAGGATCTAGTATGTGTATTTCTATGTTTGGCCGGGTGTGATTCCCAATCAGAGGCAGCTGTCGCTCGTTGTCTCTGATTGGGGACCTGGTTGCCTACCTTAGTTGTAAAGTGGTTATCCCACTGGCTATAAGGTGAATGCACCTATTTGTAAGTCGCTCTGGATAAGAGCGTCTGCTAAATGACGTAAATGTAAATCTTGACTCGTGTTTGGCTGGTTGTGTTTAGCCACTGTTTGAGCTTCACGTTTTGTTATTTTGTGCTTATTCTTATTAATAAACATGTACGCATACCACGCTGCACCTTGGTCTGACCCGTCTCTCAACGATCGTGACAATCTCGAAATCGTAAATCTAGGAAGTTTAAATAACAGCATGATTTTTTTACTTATATTTTAGACCAAGAGCTGCCATCCCTGCTTGATGAGCCTGTGGCTTCTGAGATGCCCGCTGGATACATTAAAGGTATATTATGCTAGCCTATATGTTACAGAATGTTGCTTCTCTTGTATTATCAACATCAATTCCAAATTGTATGGCTGTCAGCAGCTATATGGTTATCAATACTACTAATATATATGAAGGGTGGATATTTTGATCGAGGTATTTCACATGGCCTTGGTACATGCTCTGCCTGGTACTCATGGCTTGTATCGTCACGCTGCTTGCAGCTAAACTGTTGAGTCTTTATTATTTTGCAGATCTTCAAGCAGTGGAGAAAGGATAATGGTGAAACTGAAAATGATCCGTACAGAGTTCAGGACTGCTCTGAACCAAGTTATGGAGGCCATAGAGGCCCGGCAGCCAAAGGAGTCGGAGTCCTTAGGGCAACTTGAAATGCTGCAAAACCCTTCAGAAAGAAATGAGGAACTGAAGGATATCTGTAAAACACTTAGACTCCTACTATCGAAAGAAAATGGTAGGGATGGCCATTTTAAAATGTATCTGTTTGTAAAAAAAATTGAAATCTACATCTAGTATTTTAACAGCAATTGACAAAAATAAGTTCGCTGTTTATCAAGAGCCACTTGAATGCATCCAGATTTGGGAGAAGATTGCAACCTGCAATATTATTGAATCCAAATATCTTAATGTCAACGAAATGCAGTTGTCATATATGCCATATGCCTATTTAGTATTTGTATTGATTTCCCAATGAACACTTAACTTACCTTAAGGAGAAACGATCAGCCCTATGCCTGTTTACACAAGTTTTAGCCCATGATTACATGATACACTACAAAAATGGTTTCTCAGTACTATCAATCAGAACTGTATGGCTGCTGTTTTAGCTGAGGAACACACAAATGAGTGGGATTTTTTTGACCCTCTGCTGTGGCCTGGACCTGGGCTCAGGAATCAGAGGAGCTGTGCACAGACTACTCCTAGAAGGGCAGGAAGGGAAGAGGGCCTTTAACGAGCTATCAATCTATGATGCTGTCACAAGTAATAAATGCGCAAGTTTAGATCGTAATTTATTATTATTTAGTAGATAGTATTATTGGTCAAGTGATGGTAAGTCAGATGTGTATTTATTAACATTTCAAATGAATTAAATCAGTAACAAAGCAGTTACAAACTAAATGTGAAATCCTACCACCTGTTAAGATCGGAGAGAGAGGACAAAGGAAAGGTGAAGGAGAGTGGTCTCATGGCCAAAACTGCCCATGATGGACGAGAGGGACAATACCCAACCTCTGTCTCAGCCAGCATAGGTGGAAAAGTAGTGATATGACATGGAATGTACCATTTCAATTATTTTTCACAACATGGGAGCGTCCCTTAAAGCACACCCCAAGGCTACCTACCAAGAGGTAGATGACAAAATAGCAGACGCTCTCAAACATGCACCAGCTCGGCTCAAGAGTAAGAGAAAGGTATGATTAAAAATAACACTATTAATTTTTATTTTTTTTCACTTTAATAGTCGGTCAGTATAGCTAAATTATTGTGCTAGTACAAAAGGAATGTAATAGGGAGTCAACGTTAAACCGCCATTTTGATCATTTGTTTACGGAAAATAATGACCAATTTGTGTTATTGTCACTTCCAGGAGCGGGTCAAGGAAGCGACAGTGGATGAGGATGGAGCAGCAGCACCTGAATTCACAGCAACCATCTGTCCAGGACACACGTTGTGTAATAACACTCCTTTACAGTATATGCTGCTTCCCCTTGATCCCATCTCTCCAATCAAAATGAAGGGGTGTTGTGAAGAGATGCATTCCCATACGATACCTGCGAATACCTGCTCCCTCTGCTCTTGTAGTGGTGACAGGGCGCAGTGGAGGTCATCTCCAGCTCCACCCTGCAGTATGGATATATCTCCAGTTATGATAAGCTACGAAGAGTGAGACGACACCCAGTCTACTGGTTAATTACCCTGTATGTCAGAATCATCATCAGGCCCATTGTGTAAGCACACACAGGAGGGTTGTTCTCAATCAGACTCTCTTGTTGCCAGAGACCTGTTCTCCCTGCTGCATAGTGCCTAGGAGGTGTGCTTGTGTATCAGATCTTCACAGCCATGAAAGCTGGTATTTTGCATGAGTGAAGTCATGTGTTAAAGTGATACTCCAGATCTTTTGTATAATTTCAGCCAGTAGTTTTGAAAGTGGTGCTCATGAGCCAAAACGGGTCCCTGTTTTTTGTGTACTACGTCATCCAATTGTGTATTACGTCATCCACTTCATATGATATGTTACAACCTGCACATATTTAATATGTGTGTATATATATATATATATATATATATAATTTATATTTTTTGCAATTCGTATGATATGTTACGAATTTGTTGTGCTTAAGTTCCTGGACTGCATCTTTAAAGGTGTTTTCAATGTGTGAACTGTATTAAGTTCCTTTAACGTGCTTTATTTAGAGTGTGATTTGATATGATGTTTCACATGCAGAGGGTGCATTACCATATACCAATATACAGTATATAGGTTTGGACGTGTGCTTTATTCAGGTCTAGTAAAGTCACAGTTATCTAAGCCTTTGTGCCCTGCAGTGTTTAAATAGATTTGAGTGTGGACAACGGCTGTGCTGACTCAGTGCCCCTGTCCCTAAGCCATGTTGACAATGCAGCTGTAGCTGTTCCATATGGACAGTAGGCTGTGTTCTAAAAGCCACTCTCACATCTCCTCTGCAGGATTGTGCTGTGTATTTTTGTATGTGCGTGCGTTCGAGCGTCTGTGTGCATAAGCCTGTCTCTTTGCCAGCACAGTGGGTAACCTTTGTTAGTGACGAGACTGGTTTTCATAGCAATGCTTCCAGCACTGCATTGTTTACTGCCATGTGTACTTCCAACACTCTCTCAATGTGAGTGAGGCCCTGTGGATTTGGGCCTTGTGTGTGTTTGGGGCGAGCTTTCTCCATGCCCTAACCCCCTTACCCCCTCTGAGGGCTATAGCTCGGGCCTCAGCGGGTCCCTGGTACTGGGTATTGAGAGGGAGGGAATAGGGCATCCTACTGGGCCACGAAGCACTGAAAGGTTAGGGCCACTGTAGGCCAAGGAGAGGCAGCTGGGGACCGTATTCAAACCCTCCATCACCATCAGAGAGATATTATCCTCTTTTGTTCGTTAGCCATGTGAAAGATAATTAGGTAAACAACTCATAGCAGGACTATGATAGGGGTTTGAGCGTGCTCTGTGTGGTGTCGTTATTATTGTGAATAACCTGTTAAGACAAGTATTGAATCTTGAGTTATTAAGTTATTTCAATAAGAGGTAGAATCCCGACAGCGCTGTATAAATGATGGTTTGATTTTTTTCAAAAAAGAAAAATAATGAGTGAATTTTCACCTGGTGAAGAGGCCTTTTAGAAATTAATTTGGCTGCTTTCTTTTTTACCTTATCTCTTTTCTTTCCTTCCTCTCTCTCTTCCTCCCTCCCTCCCCCTCTCTCCTTCCTGCATCACGAGGCAATTAATTCACTTCGATTTCTCTCTTCCGCTCAGGTCCAGATGCGGCAATTTGGAGATAGAGAGGCTGGAAAAGTCTGGCTGAAGGATTCATCTCTTCCTACCTCTACTTTGTTTTTTATCGCTCTCCCTTTAAAAGTATGTTTAATGGGTTCTTCTAAATGGAGAATTGCCCTTGCAGATCACCCCCAGGCAATTCCCTGTCACTCTCCACAATGGTAGTGCTGTTGGTGGTGTAGAAGATCGTTTTATCTAGTCTATTCTTTGGGATTCAGTACTGGACAAACCACAGCTATCTGGGCTTTCCAACTACAGTCCATGTAAACTAAGCTGCTGACTGTGACAGCTGTCATTGGTGAGTTATTATGGTTCCTTTAGCAGGAACAACATGAGCTTGATACAAGAGCCGGCTTATGATAGTATGGGTGGGTTGTGGATGGGATGGGAACACTAATCGGGAGTTTGGTGACGAATAAAGGTATTGGTGAGGATTGGTGATTAGGTAAATGGGGGTTACAGTAGTAGGTACTATTATAGTATTAGAGTATTACTAAGTACTGGCAATTCTGTTACATAAACACCCTTGCAGCAGTAGGAAGGATCAACCAGCAGCCATGTTTTTTCCTATGCTCTCCGGCACCATAAAACACAATGGTTCTAACGTTCTGCTAATGTTCCATAGCGCTGCAGAGGAGCGGGTGTTTCAGGAACTATTTAAGGGCCTTTTGTCAGCCCTGTCACAGATTATGCAAATGAATAGCTAGCGCACGTCCTGGAACATGAGGTGTGTGTGCCCGTGTGAAGTTGCGTGCCTGCGTGTCTGCATGCATTTGTGTGTGTACGTTTGTGTGTGTGTTTGCGCAAATGTGTGTGTGTGTGCACGCGTACGTAAATGCCTTTGTGTGTATGTGTTTGTGTGTGTGGTACAGAATGGCGCCCTCTGTCACCACCACCTGAGGGGGTTGATGACGAGAGGGGTTGACAACATCTCAATGCATCCCTTGTTCCCCAGCCAACATGTTTATTTGCTCTTAGCCTTTCTTCCTCCCACACACACACTCTTAGCTCTTAGACATACAGGGGAGATTACTGTAGAGTAGATAACGTTTCCTGTTCCGTCATGTAGCGCATTCTAAAACACCTACACAGCCCTAGCAAAGCCACTTACACAGCTGTAAGCATGTCACAATGACGTTTTGGCCTGATACTTTTACCTTTCACATTGTTTCCTTTATTCCACCTGGCCTTGGTGTTCTCTGGTTGCTATCATTTAGAGAGACTGGCTCTACTTCTTGACCTCTTTCTTTGCAGAGGACTTCCAGTATACTGTCACACTAGTTACTCCTGGTTACCTATTGGACCACGTACTTAGCACGTTTTGTTTCATGCATGTGTGTGTGTGTGCAGATTTGATTTAATAAACATAAAAATATGATGACATTTGGTCACAGCAGCCTTTAATAATAATTTAGTGCGTGCTTATATTTGTCCTATTTCACACATGTACAAGTGTGTATTAATTGGAAATGTGTTTTTTTGCATATCCCGCTCTCCCTGAGACACAGGGTCACTGCCAGGGTCTGCCATTATCAACAGAAACCCTGGAGCAATTAGGGTTAAGTGCCTTGCTCAAAGTCACAGCAACAGAATTTTCACCTTGTTGAACTAGCGGACTTTTAGTTACTTGCCCAATGTTCTAACCGCTAGGCTACCTGCCACCCTTTAACAGCTTGATTCCTCTTAATGGCGGGACCAGTGTGAAGTCTAACACCATGAGTGAGTCATGGTTTGTGTCCCAAATG